CTAAAAAATGTTTAAAATAAAATCTTAATGGTTTCAGGGGGTACATAATCTGATATTAGTATGACTTATCTAGGCGTATTCGTAAAGGAGACACAAAGATCAATTTCATTTTTCTTTTAAATGGAATCACATAGCGTTTGTTGCATTAATCGATGGAGCTCGTTATTTTCAATGCAAGTGCACTAACAATGGTGTATAGAAATGGAAGGGGGACACGTGGAAAATCTTCTGTAAATATCGAAAAGTCAGTAGTAATGAGATTTTGGAACAATATCCCAGATAAAACATTGAAACGTTGTTTTAACGTCTGAAATAAGACGTCTTAAAGATGTCCATTTTAGGGCGTAAGATGTTCAGACCTAAAATGGATGTAAAATGTACGTCTTTAAGATGTACATTGCTTATTGGGTACAGTTGTTGAAAAATATACAAAAATATAAAAAATAAAAACACCTGAATTTTCATATTTGCAATGATCCATATCTGCGGATTAGAAAAAAATGGTTTCCACTCTCAAAGTCGATGATTTTGACCCTTAGTCGCTTGATGAATGTTCTGAAAAAGTAATTTGCTTAAATAATAATTAAAAAATAAAATTTGTGTTCAGTTTTTCCTATTATTTGTGTATCCATTTTAAATTATTTTACCTCCACACATTCTTCATAATTTAAGATCTAAGAGACAATGTAGTATGGTATGAATTATGTTGTTAGTTAAATTAGAAGGAAAGAAGTCTACGAAAAACGATGGACTTATCTAAGACAGTTGATTCTTCGCTTTGTAAAAAGACTGCAAGTGAGTTATAGTACCTCGCCAGAAGCGTAACTATTTCTACCAATATTTGTCTTGTAGGTTTATAACTCTTTCAACGATCAGAGTGTTTCGATTTAAACCCTGCAAATTGTTAAACCGAAGTAAAAGTGAGTTCTCTATTCGTTTTGTCTGTTTCTTTGCTCCCCGGCAGAAGTTTTAATGCCGCCCCTGTCCTCGGCACACCGCGAACTGTTTTACTTCAGAACAGTAATTAAAACCACAGTGCCGTAGCTTTCCTTGCCTACAGGAGAGTGGGTTATAATCTACAGGTTGACACTGATTATCTATGTATATGAGCCTGCTAGTTCCTCGTATATATGAGAAAGCTAACACAAATACAACACTTTCTGCTTTGAAAACGGAAAATGACAATACTTATTTTCCTTAACACTCGACTGCTGCCGATGCAAGGCTGAGTTACTTTTGATCTTTCTTTTGTGTAATGATAAACATATAACTTGCTTTTAGAGTATCGTATTTCTGCACTGCGAGAGTTAAATTATTCCACACTGGAATCTAAGGTACGTTACTCGTTTTTAGCGACGTTACAAAATTTTGTCGAACATGTCATAAATGTTTTGAAGAGACAAATATTCTGATAAAAAGCTTTTCTTTCGGATTATACAGGGTGACCCATTTAAATTGATCCAGTCAAACATTTTTGAAACCGTCGACGATACTAAAAATAAAATTTCAAACGAAATTTGAATGGTTTTAGTTTAGTATTTTATTTTTTTACGTGGAATCATATATTTTTTATTAGACTAGTCGATTCAGCTCGTTACTCTCTGTATAAAAATGCTAAGGCATTTATTGCGAAAAATCATTGGTTTAAAAGATATTTGAGTTTTAATATCTTTTAGAGACCGAGTAAATCTTTGCATTCAGGTTGAAGGTTGTATTTTTGAACAGCAACTTTAGATAAGCGACTGCTAAAACTATGCATTACTAAAATTAAGATATCTTCTAAAACAATGATTGTTTACAATTCTAAGGCAACAGGATTTATGGTACAAACGTGACTTCGTAGCTGTTTTTTAAGCTCAAAAAGTCCTTCTCGGCAATTATGTTTAGTTTCGCATTTGGCACTATAAACAGGAAGAAACTCGAAATCGGATCCTTGGACTTTCTCCTAGCCCCTTGACCCTTTGGAACGTGAAGTGCACATGCGAACCTCAGGACAGACCAGCGGAATTAGGAAAAACACGAGACCCCGAACTTTCGGTTTTTTAACAACCTAATGGGCAATTTTTCCAACAAAATCCGTATTGGCTGATGGGTGTTTCTATCGTGCTGAAACTCCAAGGTGTAGGGACAGAACTTCATCAGAAGCAAAACGAAACTAAACGAATCTCCCTCGCAGAGATCGGGTGTAGAACAAAGCACACTTGACGGCCACTGTTGACAGCCATCTTTCGAAGCTCTTGCCGGCCACTGTCGACGGCTACCTTTCAAAGCTCTTGCAGGCCATCGTTGATGGCCACTTTCGACACACGATCGTGTTTTTGAACCAGCAAAATAACGCCACGCTCGAAACAATGATATTTTGCAATAAATGTCGTAGTATTTTTATGAAGAGACCGAAAAGCTGAATCGACTAGTATAATAAAAAATATATAATTCCATTAAAAAGAATAAAGTTGTACTTCATACGTCCTCGACGCGTTCACCTAGAAAAAATATTATTAATATCAGATTACGTGTCTCTCAAAACTATTGAAATTTCGTTTGAATTATTTTTTAGATTTATCGACGGTTTCGAAGATATTTGATAGATCGATTTAAATGGGTCACTCTGTATATTTTCTAAATACTTGTACTAGTACAGTGGAATCTCGATATTTCGAAGTTCAAAGAAATAAATCTTCGAGTTTCAGTTTATCGTGGATTTGGCGTAACGGAAGTTCGACAAACGAAAATTCGACTAATTTTACGACTTGAGAAAGTGTAAAGTAGGGTTCTGCAGAATTTCATTCGAACGATGGATAAGAGATAAAGATTCGTATAATTAATCGATTTGTATAAAAATGATTACTTTTAAGAATTAAGTTTTCTTCAAATGTTGCATCGGTGTGTCACGCATATATGCTTCCCTAGCCATTGTGCATGTTGCTCGATGTCGGACATTACGCATCGGTCGATTAGATTGATATCGGAACTATTGTGACCACGGTATTAGTAGCAGAAATTGTACTGATCCTGAATATATTCGCATAACTATCTTCTTATAAAATTACGTAAAAATAAAAACCGTCATCAATTATTCGCATTATTATTCGAATAATTTTAGAATCTCTATTCTAGGAATTATAAAAAGTAAAGAACTATCGGAATAAATTTATAAGAATAGAGAATAATTTATGACAAATAATGAGCAATTGTTATTCGAATGAAATATTCGATCGAAGAGAATTCATTTGGAATCTTTTGTAAGAAAAGCTAAAACTCAGAGAAATAAAGAAGTGATGATTACAGATCCGTTGATCCTCTTGAACTGATTCACTGATGTGGTAGAGGTGAATTTCGATTTGTAAATACTAGAGTTCCTCTGAATTCAAGTTATGCAGGTAAGATACATAATT